ATACATACACACATATATATATACATACACATATATACATACACATACATACATACACACACACATACACACACATACATACATACATATATTACATATAACTTGTAATTTCGTTTTTGAGTGTTTTTTTTGTTTGGTGATGCCTGGAATCCAACCCAGGGCCTCATTCACTAGAGGCCAGCTCGTTATTCCTGAGCTACATCTTAGTGTATGTGCTGCCTAAGTGAGCATGCCCCTGAGCTCTATCTGGCCCATTTAATAGTAATTTTTTCGCTCTCTCCCCTTCAACAGCTAAAGAAGTTTAATTACATTTTGAATTAGATCTAAAAATGTTAAATTGCCAAAGTATATTTTAGGCTGTAATTGGAACATATGTAGGTAATATACAGTCAAGTTGTTTTTTAGAAAATAAAATTTGTATGTTTCAAGTATTGGTCTCTAACATTTTTTTTTTCAACCTAGGCATCAGATTAAATATTGTTAGGGCTTTATAGCTGCAGTAAAACTGTAAGCCCTTCGTTTGTGTGCTTTATTTTAGAGCTGAGTTAACTAAGACCCAATGTCAATTTATATGCTCACAGTTAACTGATGACTGTTAACTCATAACAAAGCCCGAAAGATATGCTAGATTTTAAACTATTGATGAAGAGCAGCCAGACTGTGGCATTCCTTCTTTAGGCTAAACACAAGCCAGTACTGTTTCTGGAAATGCATGTGGTTCTCATGACATTTTAAAATGATACTACTTCAGTGACCTAGTAGAATAGTTAGCAGTAAGTTCCTAGAATTGGTCATTGTACCACTCATCCGGGTAGGAAGAGTCATAGCAGTAGAAGCTGGTTTTCATCAGTCTGATTTTTAGCCTTTGAAAAACTATTCATGCCCTCTAATTAGTATTTGACCATTTGAATTTGAAAATTCATATTTGTTGCATAGAAATAAGCTTAACCAATAAATGTTTTTTAAGGAAAACATGAGGAATGAGATGTAAAAAATTGATTTTTTTCTTGTTGAACCTGAGAAGTTATATATTTAAAAAAAATCTTATGGGTAGACTCTTGAATTATTTAAATAAGAAAATGAAAGAAGAGTCATGAATATTCTATATGTCCTTTTCTAGTTTGGTTGTTTTGTAATATTTTCTTAGGACTTACATTTTTTAAAAACTGGATTATACAGAAATAAAGAGCACCTTGTACTATGAATGTTTAGCTTTTTGCAAAATGTTGGGAGATTGTTTTGAGGGCAAGAATAGTGAGTATAATGGGCTAGAGGAGAAGAAGTGGTTCAAAATGTGAAGACTTTATAAACTTGAGCTTAGGACTGGTATAGCTTCTGGTTGTAGTTGCCTAATACCAATGAAACTGGATTACTTTTAGCCAGTTATGTTCATATATTATACTTTTGATGTGGAGAATACTCTGCTAGATATTTTAAAGCTTCTTACTGTGACTTGGCCTGAAGTTTAATGTTGCTGGATTTTGCTTTGAAGTTATGTTCTTGAAGTGTAGTCTGTGATTTGGTGTGACCGGTCAGTAATTGCCCTTTGTTCTGTCTCAGATCCCTGCACATCGCTGAGCCCACCCTGCTTTACAGATGAAGATAGGCTTAGTCTGGAAGCTCTTCAGACAATACATAAGCAAATGGACGATGACAAAGATGGTGGGATTGAAGTAGACGAGAGTGATGAAGTAAGTCGGAAACTTTCTCTGCAGTTCTTTTAGATCCGAATGACTTGTTTCTAGACTTAAAATTTTTCTTTATTCCTTGTGTGACTCAACTCCTTCATCTTCAATATCCTTAGCTTTTCTCATTTTACATTTTAATTTTAGACTATAAATATAGTTTTTCTTGTTTTTTTCCTTCTTCCGATTGTATAGAGGGTTTTCCAGTTTATTTTTTTCTTTTTTTTTGTACTAGGGATGGAACTCAGGACCTTGCACTTGCAAAGCAGGCATGGTGCCACTGAGCTAAATCACTGGCCCCAGGTATTCTCAGTTTTATAAAAATCTTCAGTCTCATGTTTCTTTTTTTTTTTTAGTTTTTTGACAGGGTCCTTCTGTGTAATTGAGGCAGGCTTGAACTCAATATGTACACCAGACTGGCTTTGAACTTGTGATCCTCCTACCCTTAGCTTCCTGAGTGCTGAAATTACAGGTGTGCACTACCATGCCTGGCTAGTCTTGTATTCTTGGGATTCTTAAACATATATTCTAGTCTGTCTGTTATCCATTGCTGCCTTATAAACCACTCCAAAATGTAGTGGTTTAAAATGACAACAGTTTATTATTTCTCTCATTATGTGGGTTAACTGGGCTTAGCTAAGCAGTTTTTCTGTTCCCTTAGGTATGGGCTGAGATCACTGTGGCATTTGGCATTAGTTTGGGAGTTACTGGAGTTGGAATATCTAAGATGGCCTTTTATCTTTCATGATCTGTCTGTATGTACTTCTCAATATTCAGGAATGTAGCTCAAAATTTATTATAGCATGACAGCTAATTTCCAAGTGTATTGTTCCAACAAGGCAAGTCCCCATGTGCAAGTGCTTATCATGCCTTTTCTTGCCAGAGCTTTCTAATATCAAATTGGCCAAAACAAGTCTTTTGGCTAAGCTGAGAAGTCTTTGTGGGAGAGGATATGTGACAGAGATGATTAGGAGGTCTGGTTCATTGGAGACCATCAATTTACTAATTTACTGTACTTACTGTCTTTAATTTTGAAGTATTCCTATCTTTCCCTGGTCTAGGATTTCTCATAGTTTTTCCATAGAGGTTGTTTATTTAGTTTCTCCATAGAAGTTGTGTCTCATTCTAACCAAATCCCTTTTCATTTTTCAGGGCTTTTCAAACTCTCTGTTGAGATGCTCTTTTTTTGGTAATATTAAATTATTTCATACGTCATTATCTAATGTTATAGTGAAATCCTCTGGTAATACTTTTGCTTAACATGACATTTTCTAAAGATCAGTACTTGACCTGATCATTTTAGATTTTTAAAGCAGAATTTCTCTCACCTATTTTAAATCTCTCACTATTCAGTGGTGCTTTTGTACCTACCTCTCTTCAGATCTTATTCTTCTAAATTAGAAGTTGGCAGACATTTTTCTGAAAAGGGCCAAATTACAGTTTGAAACATGTCCACCAAAAACCTATACTGAACAGTTTCTTCCTATTTTGCAATATTCTGTTGCACATAAAAATGTTCAAATGGAAAGGGAATAAAAAGTGGAAGTGTCTCCCTTATAGTCCTTGAGGATGACCCTGCTGACAGCCTTAATTTTTAACTTTTAGCTTCCAAATCTATAAGAGATTAACCTTCTCTGATTCCAAGCCACTCTGTTTGTGTTACTTTGTTATGGCAGTTTTAGAAAACTAAAAGGTAGTAAATATTTTAGATTTTGTGGGCTCTATTGTCTCACATGGAAGTGCTCAATTTTACCATTATATAAAAGCAGCTATAGATCATACATGAACTGATGGTCATAGTGACTTTTTAATAAAACTTTATTTGCAAAACAGACAGAAGGCCTGATTTTTTCTGTATGCCAACCCCTGCTATAAATAAGATCATGCATTACCAAAATTACTCCTTTTTTTTCCCCTTTTACTATTGCCTCTTATGTACTTTGGTTATTTACTAGTTGTGTTTTAATCTAAGTATTTATTTTCTTGTGCCCAGCTTACTGCCTCTAAGTTTTTCCTGTCTCATCCATCATGATTATCACTTTGAGAGCGCTTGCCTCAGCTACGAAAGTTGCAGCGATCTCTAATTGCCTGTTAGATCAGAGATAGAGATAGTCGCTCTTCAGTCTTACATTTAGTGCATCTGTATCAGTTGATTTCTATTTACTGAGATGTTTTTTCTCATTGTGGTTAAAGCTCAGTGGTACCAAAATACTTTCAATTTTAAACAGACCATTTAATTTCATTTGCTTTTAGAACTATGAAATATATAACTGTAGCTTGGGTTGTATCCAATTTAAAAAGTCTTTTAAATATCTAAATGATTCTGTTGTTTATGAGGTTGAATGAGATGAAATTGATGGGTTATCAGGAGCTTTACTATTAGGACTACTTTTTAAATTCATTCATGGATCCATTCATTTGTGTTGCTGGGGATTGATCCAGGCCCTTCACACCGAATTAATATCCCAAGCCATTTTATTTTTTTAGTTTGAGACAGGGTCTTGATGAGTTGCAAATTATGCAGGCTGAGCTTGAATTTTTGATCCTCCTACTTCAGCTTCCCAGAACACTGGTATTATAGGTATGCATCCATTTTATTATATTGAGTGGATAATTCATGTCTTCAACATTATTTCCCTCCCCCTCTCCTCTCCTTCCCTCCTCCCTCTTTCCCCCTTTTTTCATTCCCTGTCTTCCTCATCCTCTTTCTCTCCCTCTCTCCTTCTCTCCCCCTTCCTCTTCCTCCCTCTGTCCCTCCCTTCTGCATACAGAGAAAACACACACACACACACATGCACGCACTTAGACTATATTATTATTTTTTCAAGATTATTTAAATGGTTTGTTTAATTGCCAGTTATTGAACACTAACTATATCAGCACTTTATAAAGGGATGAATTATTCTCTAAGCTAAGTGGATTTCTTAAAATTATTGTCGTATTTTTTTGGGTCATTTACAGTATGACTGGCGCCAGGCACTGCACCTGCCCTGTAAATGCAAGGTCCTGGGTTCAATCCCCAGTGCTGGGGAGGAAAAAAAAACACCACAATATGACTGGATTAGCTCTGTCAAATTTCATTTTCTCTTTCTTGTTACATGGTGGCCAGTGTGATAATGACATCATTTCCACATGTAAGAGTAGACCTCTCGTGGCCCTGTTACCTTCCAGCATTACACCTCCTAACATCACCACAATGACAAATTTCAACATGAGTTTTGGAGTGGACAGCCATTCAAATCAAAGCATACTGTAATGCTAAAATTTGAAACAAATAGAAGAAATTCACATTAGCTGAATAATTAAAATTACCTTTAAAGGCATGAGTAAAATTATGCATATGTAGACAGAGACAGGTATTAAGTAAGCTTTGGCAGATATTTGATGACTTATTAGAATAGTTAATTGCATAATAGTTTGTAGAATTATAAGTTATTTAATCATTTCAGTTCCTCAGCAGATTTTAAGTGCACATGTGTAGTGTTTGCACTGTGTGAAACAGTTAAATGGAATAATACAGAGCTCAGAAAAAGAGAAAGGTTGGCAATGGAAGGACCATTGGTAAGTTTTTATAAAACTGCTATTGGAAGTGGTATGCTGTGACATTTGTGAGAAGTGAAACACTAGGTCCAGGAGAAAAGTTTACCTCAGGATCTTTTATTGAGCATCTATTGGCTGTGAATTGCTGTTATTATAAACCTCCACATAGACACTCAGTATGCTTATAACCAGCCATTTCTTGGAAAATATACACATTGACTTGTTCTGAAAAAAGTGAGCTGTGTCGAAGAATCAAGACTAGTATAGTGTGTAAGAGACTAAAAGTAGAAAAGACACGGGAAAGTAGCAAGTTGAGCTTGAGATGATCCATGGATATCAAGAAAGGGAGCCACCATTTTAATGAAAGCATGAGAAAGCTGGTGAGACAGAGAGAGTAGTCTCCGTATCTCAGGTGCATTAGTGCATGATGCAAAAGGCATGCAAGTCATGCACCAGCTCTGTGGTCCATAGAATTCCTGTTGAGAGTCAGTAGAAGCTGGCGCCTAGAATTCTGAACATTTTCATATTGGCTCTTAAACATTTTATTTAAATGTAAATAATAAGGAGAGCTTAGGAGGTCAGCAGAAATGTTATCTGATTATGAGAAAAATTACAGATACTTAGGTATTGAAGTAAATTTCTGTCAAACAGATTAGTATAATTTGAGGAAAAAGTAAAGGATCCTGTATAAATTTGATGCAGTGTAGAGGTGTGTGGTTCAAATACAATCCTTCAGATAGTGGTGTTAAATCACTTAACAATTAGTATATGACCTGTAATTCTCCAAGCTAGTTATCATGCACTTCTATCAGAAGATTTTGAGTATGCACTCTCTGTTAAATTTTAAAATAAATAGCTGTTTATGGGGACACACACACACACACACACACACGCGCGCGCGCGCTGTTGTACCAGTGTTGTCTTCGTTTGTTTATTTTTTTTGGTGTGGGGGATAAAACTCAGGACCTTGTGCTTGCAAGGCAGGCACGGTGCCACTGAGCTAAATCCTTGATAATGTTATGTCTTCTTAAACTGTTCACGAAAATATGACTTAGAAATGGGATATGATTAAACATAAGTGGTCTGGGCAACTCAGTTTGGAGGCTACTGCACTGATGAAGTGTATAGCAAGATCATGTTACAAATTGTATCATCTGAATTTTTTATGAAAATGAATTATGGAGACATTGCTGTTACTCTTTTTTAATTTCTACTCCGCTGTACATGTTTCTTAACCATATGGCACATCAGTACTGATACTCTTATGATCAATAGCCTACTTTTCCATTACTGAAATTAGCTGTGATACCTGTGCTATCTACAAGAAATTGATTAATTTATATTAATTTAGAAGAAATGACAGAACGAGTGAGGCAGAAAATATAGTATATGCCATTTTGATAAGGAAAGACATAATTAAAATCTTATTTCTTAAAAAAACCAAACCTTTTCCCATTAATTGTCCT